GCCATCGGATTTTTTAAAGAAAATTGCAATTTAAATGAAGTGTAAGTATGAAGGAACGGACATACAACAAGCTGGAAGAGTGCGACAACAATGAAGGCTGTGAAGACAACCGCGTAATGAAAGGGCGCTTTGCCGATTGGTTCGTTTGCGCGCTTCTCACAGGTCGAAAAATAGACCTGCTGTCGCTCGGGCCAAATTAGCAGCTTCAAGCGCAATATTGCATATTCATTGAAGCCGACAACATACTGCAATAGTTACATATAATTTTAATGTTTTAACATTTCTGGTTTTGTGCTGTACCAGGAATGAATGCTCTGATAGTGCACATGGGTACCCCGTGTTAGTGATGTTACCAGGATTGCTCAGAATTGCCGAGCTCAGCTAGACCAGTTCTCTTGATTCTGAGTTACATGCCTGTCATCTTTCGGAGGCCACCCGAGTGTTCGTCGTTTGCTTTTGCGCTATTTAGTAATATTTTAATTTAAAAATATTACAGTTCGTAATATTTTGTTAATAAAGGAAGAGTATGAAGGCCTCTCGTGTGTCACTGGAAAAACTTTCGACTATAAAACTCAGTTCCCCGAAGCGCGATGGAGTTTTTGACAAAAAAAAGCTAATTCCTGAAACAAAATCCAGTTGGATCGCATCGTAAACAAAATGAAGTAGAAGGCGAAAAAAGACGATCCTTTTGCCTTTTGAAAAACAGCGAAGGGGCGAAACTTCTGTGATGTCCATTATTTAAGGGATTTTGATGCATATCTAGTGTGTGGAAAATTGCTGGATTCCAGTACACGACTGTCCAACGTTCTAGCATTTCAGCTGCCAATCGCTGTGAACTCAAAAAAGCAGCTCTGTAATTGATATGTTCGAAGATCGAGGACGAGGAGAAGGAGGGAAGGAGGATGGAAGGATTCAAGCTAGTAGTCGATATAGTATGAAATAGTGCACAAATGTTTCAACATTGCCAGTGATGCAAATGTATTTCTTTTGACCGCATCAAAAACTATCGTTATAGGGGAATTTGAGTTACCAACTTCTACTGTGAGCAAAAGCTTACAGCAACAACGACAGTGGTGTATGCAACGCAGTGATAATGACTGTAGATGAACTGCTGCAGAAGGACAGGAGCATGTTCAGAATGTGCTGCTCCACTGCATCGGATCCTTGCAACACGATCATCCACCATCCGACGTTATTTTATCATCTGTGCTACAGTCTTACCAATCATCCTTACATGATATCTGTGCGTAAAAAATATGTCATTCAAAGTAATAAATGTTAAACGAGCGTCTCCAACACATCTAATAATCGCGGTGCGTAGTGAAAGTAAGTTTATTCACCTCCTTTGACCGATTCGGAACGGTCTCGGGTCAGGGAAAATATGATAAACAGTAAAGAGTTAGCGATAAGGCTTAAACTCGCGCATGATTTAAGAGAATTTGAGTTTTTTTTTTTTTTTAAGGATGTAGGTGTAGTGGAAAATCATTCGCGACACGCACTAGGCGGGCCCGCGCGAACATAAGTTTTTAAAGTATCTCTCACTGTAGCAAAATTGCTTAGAATTAGAGTGGCAGAATTTGTGACACACTGGTCCTCGAAGTTCAAGAAGTTAATTGTGCAACTGCGTGGTATTTAAACAAGGGACATTTCATAAAATTTCAGCTTCCCCTGCTTTTCTGGTTCCTAAGTTAACAAGCTTCCAGCCAAAAAATCAACAGGCCCGTACGTGAGAACGCCTAGAAGCTGAATTTCCAGTCTGTAGATTCTAGAGGAGGAATTTCTTCCTAAAATTTCGGCTCCCTAGCATCTCTTGCTCCCGAGTTAGCGATCTTATCGTCGAAACTTTCACATGTTCGTAGGTGGGGCCCAGACATGCATCAAGGCTGACAGGCGGTCCTCGGGTGACAGTTGGCCGGGGAACAGAATGACATAATTTTAGCGTCGAAATTTGCTTGGCTGCCTCGCTGAAGTGTCCGGACAAACACACGCACACCATGGGTCGTCACAATATGCGGTTTTGTATTTGCACATGTACGAAAACGCATTAGTATCAGAGTTTATAAAAACCCCAGGCTGGAACGCACCAGGCGAGCCGGTGCGATCATGCGTTTTTGCATCAAACTTTGAGGTAGGATAAAAGGAAAGAAGGAAAAAAGGAGAAAACCCAGGCTGGGACGCACCAGGCGAGCCGGTGCGATCATGCGTTTTTGCATCAAACTTTGAGGTACTCCATCAAATTTCCCTGCCTTCTTGAAACGCAAATTTCCAGGTCACTAAAAAGTAAAAGTATTGTCCGAGCGGTCGTCTCCAAAAAAAACCGCGT